TCTCGAGCATCTCTGTTGCGTGCAGCAGATGCAGAAGACGAGCGACGAAGAACAGGCTTAGAAGCTGAGGAAGACCTTCCCGCTCGACCGGTACCAAGGCTGTCGATCGACCGCGAGCGCCCTCGACGATGAGCAGAAGGTGAGGCATACGGAGAACTCGGTACAGCAGCCCTGCGAAGAACAGAGGATGAGAGTCCAGCAAAAACATCGTCTCGTCGGTACACATCAGAATTATCCGCCGCAGACGTTGACAGGGAACGAGGCCGCATATGGAGTGGTGGAAGAGGCGAGGATTCAGGAGAATGAGCAGAAGATGGTGTTGACAGGGAACGAGACCGCATACGAAGCGGTGGAAGAGGCGGGGATATAGGAGAATGAGCAGAAAATGACGTTTCGACAGAGGCCGCATTCCTGCCTTTGGTGTCAACGACGGTCTCGGGAATGTCTGTCCGGGGGATATGGGCAGACACAGATGACGACGTGGGCAGCGGCAACGGTAATAACGAAGTAGAATCCAAGAGAGCGCTGTTATCGCACGGCGTGCCAGGCAGTGTCTCGGAATTATGACCAGCAATGCTGCCGTTGTCATCAGCCTGGCCGTTCTCGATAGAAATTCTGCCCTCGAAATCGATATCTTCCGTAGTGCAATCGTCTGAGACAGCAGTCTCACAAGCGCATTCCGAAGGTATGTCTGCTGGAGGACTTGATGCAAGACGAAGAGCAACCAAGGAAGCGATGACCAGGTCGAGCCATAAAACGTCGTCTGGAGTGGTTACGATGGTGTAGGGCTCGAGGAAATTGTCGAGGGCGATATAGCTTTGAGCTTCAATCGAATAGAAATCGTTGTCGTCGTCGTCGGGTAGTGCCACGTTGGGAGCGTCACCGAGATCCATGCCATCATCGAGGACGGGCCCGTTTCCTCTGTCTTCTTGCTGACAGACGGAGACGTGTGGTGGAGTATCTGTGACTCGATCGCGAGAGATTATCTGAAGAAGCGCGTCCAGCTGATAAGAGACAATGTTATTCATATGTAATGATACGGTGAGGTCGATATAAACCAGACGTACCATTGACGAGCCTCCATCAGGTCCTAGCAACAACTTGAATACAATGAGAGTCATCGCAATGAAAAGCAAGATGGCATCGGCGACTGTGTCAGGGGCTCGAATGTCGATAGCAGCCTGGGGTTGATAATTCACCATCACAAAGGTTAGAAAGGCACTTCGCAGAAGATGACTCGAGGAACAACGCACCCATTGATCAGCAGAGGACGATATGTTACACTCTGCGCCAGCGTCGTCATGTAGAGGGTGAATACTGTAAATGACGCGGTCGAAGGATGTCGACGTCAGCGAGTGTGTCCGGGGTGTGGCGACGAAGTCGAGAGCGGTTGGGGCCACTGAGAGGAAGACAGGAATGGGTGCAGCATCGAGGAGGAGCAGTGTATTGAGGCCGGTAGGGGACTCGAGTCCATAGAGTTGACAAGCAGAGGTGAGAGAGAATCGGGAGTTGCATCCTACCGACAGATGGGTGTAGAGTTGCACTGCGCCCATTATGGCGCAGTATAAAGAAACAAGCCACTGCATGGTGGCCGTCTAAGTGGTGGATGTGATTGGGCAGAGATGTGTTCGATTGTGTTGGATGGGAGTGATGAGATGATGGTGGTTCGAGAGAAAGGCGGGAGTCGAGAGCGAGGGCCCTTTTGAAACTCAGTGTCATTGTTTTCCCAATCGAGAACAAACGCCACCGATTGCTTTGGCAGCCACAGGCCCGGGCACCGGAAACAATATCGAAGAACGCATGCATCCAACATGCATCACAGACTCGTAAACATGATTTGGTGTATCGATTGACGCGCACAAGGATTGAGAAGAATTATGAATATGAGGTCGTTCAAGCTCATTCTTTGTAGCCACGAATCGGAAAGTCTTAGCCTCGTGCTCTAGCGTGTTAAAGCGGAGTTTCGGAGTTTCGGAGTCCTCCCGTCACATGGCTGTATCCATTGAAGCTGTATCGCCATTTTCTGCGTGTCCGTTGTTCCCGAACTTCACTCATATCGCCAGGTTTCCTGCACGGCAACAAATATACAATTCCGCCATGTATATTTGCCTAAGGACCGGACCCCAGCGGACAAACGAATTTGCGACCAGCAGATTCCTCTCGCCCAGACAATTGTTGTGTTCCCATCTAAACCGTTCAATTAAGACTCTTTCTTTTTGAAAAATTAAATTCTTATGCGCCTGACCTAGGGATTTATTTTGATACCCAAAGTAATTATGATTTCTGCGTCTAAATAAATCTATGATCTAAAGTTGACTTTTCAGAGCGGAACCGCGACAGAAGGAGGGTGGCGTATTGGTATCGAGGTTCGATCCTTATGTGTACAGTTTTGGTGGCAAATGTGACGTGAGGTCTGATCCTGTGAGTACATCACTGGCCTGGATTTGGCTCTTGGTCCGATCCCTTGAACAGCCCTTGTGCGTACGGAAAGCTAGCAGGACTGCCTAGGTCCGATCACTATGCGTACAATGTCGTTGTACGTGTTTAGGCTTGGTCGCTAACTACTACTCCCTAACACTGTACGCCACCGCACAGACCATTCTGTGTCAAATTGACAGTGTTTTAGGCGTTCGTCTATGAGAAGGTCCAATCCCTCGTGAGTACGGAAGGTGCCCTTATTTGGACTACCCGATCCACGAAAGTACAGAAATCCTCCCAAACTTTGAGTACAGAACCGCCCAAATTTTGGGTTTTGGGATCGGACCTCGATGCCAATACGCCACCCTCCTGCGACAGACCGCGACGCGTCTGCACGTGATTTGTTCATGCGAGTGGCACTTTGTGGCGACATTCTTCACTGCTCAGACACAAACGCAGAAAGAAATCAAGATGGGTTCTGCTCATCCGGTCTTTTTTGCACCTTGACTTCTTTCGCCACTAGTCATTACATGCCTGCGCGACCTGACATACATGCCCCGCAAGTCTTCATTGGCACTAATTTTACTGTATGTTGTTCGACTGCTGTTCAATGAAGGGATCTCTGGAAATACATTCGCGTGGGAAAGCTCAGTCTTCGAAGCGAGCACCATTCTGGGAAAGCCAGCCCGATATTGACTCACTAGAATAAGTAGCCTACGTTGAAACTACAGTCCATGCCGTCGCCAGATCCTCTGCATCTCTCTGTAAGCCGGTACCAATCCACTCAAAAGCTGAATGCGATCCATGCATCCCTTTCGTTCAATTCGACACGGGTTTCAATTGTCCACGCTTCGTCAGTCTGTAACGCTGTGCACTCTTCCTGCGCCTCTTCCAACCTGATGAAGCGCTCCCAATCCACTGACCGATCCTTCTTGTCCCAAATTATCCCTCGTCGAAGCCATCCGGAGAACTTCACCTTGTCGATCCAGCTCTTCAAAATGGTAGAGTCTGTGACCTCTAGCGTCTCCAGCCGGTATCGTTCGTCACTTGCCCTCACTCGCATGAACCGTTCGAGGTTCTTCAGTAAGCGAGATGAGTGTGGCCGGATATCATGTAGCGACAGATGCTTGAGGTCAGGAAGGAGCTCAAACATCGATTCTGGAGGAGATCCTACATCGGTGATAGCGCAATTGAGATGGAAGTAAGAGAGGAAGTCAGGGGTAGTCAAAGGCGAGGTATCGTCCATTTCCGAAAGTTCAGCGAGGTGTCGTAATGTGCATTCAGCGGCACAACTGCTCTCTAGATGCAACACCTCCACACCTGGGAGTGGGAAAATCTCGGATGATGTGGGGTCACAAATTCTGTCGTAGTCGTCTGATTGTGGAGAAAAGGACAACCGAAGAGCCTTCACTGAACCGGAAGGCAAAATCTTCAAGATGGGTGAGAGGTGTGCGGACAAGGCACCGTCAAAGGAACCCGATGACACGCTAGCACGGAGCAAGTGATAGGTCACATCGAGATAAAGTATGAGCATCGGATGGTCCACTGGTTGATAGTTGTCGTGATCGAGATAGAATGGTATGGTCCCGGGGTGAACATCGTGGTTCTGGGAGAAGATCGCGATGCGTTGTACAAACTCTAAGGACAATGTAACCTCATTGACGTAAACATTTGAAGAGGATTGAACTTCGTATCGCTCGGTACTCCTACCATTCACTTGGCCGCGCAGATGAGATAATGAGTTAGAGAGGCTCGAGTACAGCGTATCTGGTGGTGCCCGAAGGGCATTCGTGTCGTATAGGGTGATGTAACGGCGCGCTTCTTTTGGCAAAAGCAACCAATGAGCCACCCAGGTAAGGTAGCGTTGCGTCTCTCCAGAGTATCGGAATGTCTGTAATTGAGGGAGGGAAACAGGGCGATGGATAGACATAACAAGAGTGTCCTGAGGGTATGGCCCTTCCCAGTCATCGAGGTTTAGATGGATGAGATTTGGCATGAGACTCAGAGTGGCGAGGAGCCACGAAAGACCTGATTGCGATGAAAGGCACATGTGCTCGGCATTAAGCTGTAAGGATGTGATGTTTGTCTGGATACGGCTTGCAGGAAGATGCAGTCGAAAACCTGCTAGGGATAGGGTGGTGAACGTAAACAATACATTGGGTGCCCTAACCCTTCGGAGTGGTTCGGCCCCAGCTTTTTTCGTGACGTGAACAAGACTTAGAGATCGCAAACAAGCGGCCGTCTCAGACGAGGCGATGACTTTCAGCCATTCGCGCAACTCTCGCGCATCGCGTTCGTCGAATTCGAATTCGATCTCGGAGATGTGATGGAAATGTTCGCGAATAAGCCTTCCTTCGTGCCATGCAAGGGGGGTGCTAGAGACATCGATACATTTTAAGACCACAGAGGTGTCGACAGCGTGGCGAAGCATAAACTCTCGCGCTGAGGGGTTGCGCGTGGTAATCATACTCCAGAGGTTCGCGAAAGACAACGCCACGTTTCGCCATAAACGGCATACGTGGAGTATGTAGAACCATGTTGTATGTAGGTTGAGAGAATCGTACTTCACCGCAAGGCGATATTGGAGGAAAATCAGACCAAGAATCTCGGGCGGTAGGCGCATGATTGGAGGCAGATCGTTCTTCATCGTTACCTCTGTCAAGAAAATGATCAGATCGTTTGATACCGCAAGAAGGAAAGGGGCTTACAAGGCCGCCTCCGTGGTGTCGTTAATTTATGAGCGCACCAGTTCTGTGTGCGCGCAACCCGCAAGTGCTCGTAGTGGTGGAAGTGATAGTAGTGGAAGTGAGAAAGGTGCACACGGCGGCGGAGGCTACTTTCCGGACACCCCAAACAGGAAACAGAATGGAATACTACAAATAATGGCATAGGGTTGGGTTTCGAGATGCATGTATATAATGTTGAGCGTGCCCTGAATGTCAACCGATTCTTTGTGTTCGGGTTTGCGACCGGTATTGAGTGAAGGGGCTCACATTAATGAAATATAGAGTCGGATGAAGCACAAAAACTGCCGTTGCGGAACGGGATGCTGTCCTCATTCCGGAACTTTGTGTTCCGATGCCGATATAGGACTCATGAAGGAATTTATCTGGCGGGGCCGGGACTGAAACCGGTACTTTGTGTTCAGCCGGAGCAATATATTTTATCGAGTCAGTGCTAAAGATAAGGCATGGCGGGCACAAAATATTATGCATTGTAATGAAAGAGGGAGAAAGGGAACCTTTTATTCGGGGGATACTGAATCCATTTCTGTTTGATCATTATCCGCATCTGGTTTTGGATACACAAAGCAAAAGTTACAGCCTCAACGGAATCCTTTGTGTAGCGGCTGCTGTATATAAAGATCAGTGTACACTAAACTGAATGCCCGCTCATCGCCGGAGAAGAAGCCGCCCCAGCTACCTTCCTTTCTGGGAACGGACCACGAACGCGGCTCGGCGTGGCACACGTGGCCGCAACTCCGCCGCGCGTCGACTTGGGACGCAAAATCCG